GCAGGCTCCCCACTGAGCAGGGAGCCCAATGTGGGGCTCAATCCCAGTACCCTGGGATCATGACTTGAGCTGAAGGCAGACGCTTAACCAACTAAGCCACTCAGGCGCCCCTAGAACTCCATTTTAATTCATGTATTGGGTTTATCTGTTTGTATAGTGTGTGTGTGTGTGTGTGTGTGTGTGTGTGACATTTCTCTAAGGATTAAGATATGCATACCTCACTCTTCATAGTCTACATAGAATTAATATTATACCACTTAAAGTGAAATGTAGAAACCTTATCACTGATAGGTCTCTTTACTCTCCCCCTCTAATTTCTTTTTTAAATTTTGTACACTAATGGTTCTTCTTTGAGATATAATGTATATGCATTAAAATATACAAATCTCAAATATATTACTGAATGAATTTTGATACTCTCTCCTCTTTATGTTGTAGTCATATATACTACATCAACATACATTGAAAACTCTACAAATGTTATAAATCTTGTTTTCAAGTCATGTATACCTTTTTTTTTTAACACTCATGTATATCTTAAAGATCAAATATTTGCAATGTGTTACTCTTTCTTCATTACCAAAGTTCCAATTTTCCTTCTGCTATCACTTCCCTTCTATCAAAACAACACTTTTAGCCTGCTGGCAAGATTGTTAGTTTTGCATCATTTGAAAATGTTTTTATTTTGCTCCCCTTCTTGATGTGTATTTTCATTGGATATAGAATTTTGGATTGACAGGGTTTTTTTCCAGCACCTTAAATATGTTGTTTCTCTGCCTTCTGGGTTTCACTATTTCTGACAAGAAACCCATAATCTTTTGCATTGATCTTTATAGGATGCATAGTTTTTCACAGACTGTTTTCAAAATTTTAAAATTTGTTTTGTTTTCAGCAGTTCAATTATGATGTGTCTAGGCATGAATTTGAGATTATGCTGTTTTGGGTTCACTGAGCTTTCTGAACCTGTAAATTGAGACCTTTTGCCAAATTTGGTAAGTTTCCAGTAATTATTTCTTCAAATATTCTCTCTGCTATTATTATAAAGAATGTGGTAGCATTTCCAACTACATGTAAGGTCTTATCAGTTTCTGTGATTCTGTTCCCTAATAAGGATGTCATGAGTTGTCTGGTTCCAAACTATCACATCTTCCTAGTGCATTGTTCCTTTTTATTTTTTTTTTATTTTTTAAAGATTTTATTTATTTATTTGACAGAGACACAGTGAGAGAGGGAACACAAGCAGGGGGAGCGGGAGAGGGAGAAGCAGGCTTCCAGCTGATTAGGGAGCCCAATGCGGGGCTCAATCCCAGGACCCTGGGATCATGACCTGAGCCGAAGGCAGACGCTTAACGACTGAGCCACCCAGGCGCCCCTCATTGTTCCTTTTTACAAAAAACAAAACAAAACATAGTGATCCTATGACCCTAATAATGCTTTTCCTTGTTAACATCTATTTTGTTGAAATAATATAGCTCTGTTGTCTTTCTTCAGATTCATGTCTGTCTTATATATCCTTTGTTATTCCTTTACCCTCAACTTTCCCATTTTAGATGTGTTTCTTCTAAAGAACATATGTCTGGATTTGAAGGAAATCCAATGTTAGTATTTGTCTTACTTAGTTTGTTGAATATAGTTGTGCTTATTGAAATTGCTGACATATTTGGATAGGCTTTCAAATCTCAGTGCTTCCAGTATAAACTTGGCCACGTCCCTTCCTCTATAAAATGGGGATGGTCATTCTGCCCTCAGAGTGTTGTGAGATGATGTACATAAATTATTTGGCAGACTGAACAACACATGTAGATCCTTTTTTTTTTTTTTTACACATGTAGATCCTTAATATAGATTCCTTTCCCCCCTGACTTCCTCTCCCTTTAGACAAACATGGGAAAACACGTATCTCATGACAAAATGGGTGCTGGAGATGCTCAGAGCACCAGGGGGTGGAGATTCAGCTCTTCAGTGCCAAAGACCAGGAAAGTGGGGGCAGAAAGAGGTGGAGATGGATACTACAAGCCTGTGGCCAGGCCCTGGGTTGGGTGTTACACAAGGCAGGTCATCTAATCCCTGCTTTACAGATGAGGTCACTGAGGTTCAGGGAAGTCACTTATCCGAGGTCCCAAAAGCAGCCTGGGGAGGAGTGGGGCTCTGCAGACTGACTTTAGGCCTACATCTTTTCCCCTGCCTGCAGGCTTGTTGGAGGCCTGCGTGATCATTTCACTAGGAACGTGTATCTCTCATCTCTGAGCTTTTCCCTATGTCTGTCAACTTTCTCTGAGTCTCTCAGCCCTGGTCTCACTATGAGTGGCTGTCTGCCTGTGTGCTTATGTATCTGGGACTTTGTCAGAGATATTGACACAAGATCTCTGTTCCCCTGGGTCTCAACCTTCCTCTTCTGAACCTCACTCCTTGGTCTGTGTGACTCTGTTTACTTGTGACACAGAGGGAATGAGTTCAAGACACAGGGAGAAACACAGAGATGGTGACAATGAACAGTACAAAACAGTATGGTAGGTCAGATGGTTAACATGTGATGGGATCATCAGAGAAAGAGAGGAAGACTGACACCCTGATAGTTAAAAACAGAGGCTGTGACATCCAGTTACAGACATGGACCCTGAAAGAGGGCCAGGGATACAGAACTGTGAGAGAAGGTCAGAGAGAGCACTGACAGCATGCTGGCAACCACTGAGTCCAGGGGGATTCTGGGGTGATAGAAAGGGCAGACTCAAGATGGTAACATTTTATTGAGGCCACTGTAGGCCAGGCTTGTCTGAGTGCTGGGGCTCTGGGAAAATCAGATTGTTCTTGCCCTGCTGGGTGTTGGGGAGACAGCAATATAGACCTATATCAGGT